CAAGAAAAGCCTTATGCAGCACACTGCATGCCAATCGTCTGGTGAGGTAATGGGGGATATGTTTTCAGATGGTCTAACTTATGCTGTAGCTCATGTGAGAAAGACTCTGCAATCCACGTCTGGGCAGGGAATCGGGGAAGCAGGCCTGCGAGGGGAAGTTAAAGGAGACATGTCATGGCCATTTCCACTGATCATAATTCCATTGTTGAGGTCTACTAGAATAGATTTATATTGTGCAATTTTCCAAACTCACATTGGTTTCTCATACAGCATCTCTGTAAACTACTTGTATTCACTGAATTTCACTCTCTGCCTTTAACGGCTCGTTGGAGCTCCAAAAGCTCCAGCCCCCACCCTCCCTGTGAGCACAGTGTGCTCTGATTGGTCGGGACGTTGTGAATCGCGCTGAGCTCCGTGGAGGTGTTGTTTCCTTGTTTAGGATACACAGCGAAACACAGCCAAACTCATCCTGAGCACACACAAACTCACAGCCGAAGTAAAAACAATAAGTGTGGCTTGATATTGAGTAAGAAAAAGGTTGATAAACGCTGTGAGAATGGGTCTGCAGAGAGAATTTCGCCGCGATCCCAACTGTCTGTTATCAGCCTGCAGCCAGGGAGGAGAAATCAGCTGAGCTGCCTGCACTGTGTGTGTGTGTGTGTGTGAGGAAGTCCGTGGATTGGTCAATTTGGACCAATCAGCGGGGGCTTAACGTAACGGCTCCACGGACGTAACGTAACGGCACGGCTCCACGGATTGGTCCATTTCGTTCCGGGTACGGGGTTACGTCACCCCGTACCCGGAAGAATCAAATGGACAATGACGTATCTCCAACGAGGCGTTTTGGGGAGGTATTTTCTGTGTTAGAGTTTTACTCGCTACAGGGTGTACTTTGAGGGTTTTGACTCTGCACACCGTTTACATGCATAAAAACCTTCATAACACACAAGGGGACGGGTAATAACCGGAAAAGATGCCTGCTATGCCTCCACGCAGGCCGAAAGCGTGGCACATGGCAACGACTCGGCGAGGCTCACCTGGGTTACTCTCTGAAAAGCTGCCGGACGTCTGTTGGTGCCAGACATAAGCTCAGTTGTGTCAAGGAGGCAAACTGATGCTGCAACATGATGGTAAAACGGTATCGACAAAGCAGTGAAATGGGTCCTCAGCCTGCTTGCTTTATGAGCCCAAATGGAGCTGCTGCTGCTGCTAAAGGGGATCATATTCGGACTGAGCCGCTAGAAATTCAGTTTTGTCGGGTAAACGCTCGTGTCCAAACATCCTGACCAAACACTGATGCCGTTATGGAGCGTCTAGCTAACACATGTGTGTTTGTGAATGAGTGTATGTGCCTGTGACACCCTTTCCCTACACCGCCTGCCAATGTTAGAATGCGATAGCTCTTGGGTGACAGCCTTGATGCCATGGCAACACAGAAAACGTCAGTTTTGGGTGCGATGTAATCAGAGGCACATTTTCAGATCACCTTATATTATACAGAAAAAAAAGTCCTCGGTAATTGGGGTGCAGTTTGAAGGCTGGAGTAGACTCATTGTACACTCTATGACCGTGTGGTGTCGGATATAAAGCAGGTTGTGCACTCAGCTAATTTTGCATCGGAGACAATGTTTTCCCAGGGTTGTGCGTAATAAAACTAAATGCCTTGATGTAGCTCTCTGATGTGAAATTATGTTTCAGGCAGACCAGCTTGTGTGTGTTTGTGTGTGTGTTTGTTTGTGTGTGCCAGGGGTACAGCATACTAAGCAGACCCCACTGCATCAATAGAAGTGCTGTTCATCAGCATTTACAACTCCCCCTTGCAATTCCAAGTGTTTTCCTTCACACAGGAAATTCTGTGATACCTTGGATATCCCATGACAGGAGCATCAGTAGACAAACAACAGCAGAAAACATATTTTAGATGCTGTCTTCTATCAAAGCAGGAGACTGAACGGGCCAAATTGAAATGCTAATCACTGTTTCTGGATCTAAATTCTTTCACCGTGGTGACGTGCCCTGATGTGAGGGGCTTATGACCTGGGATTTTCTTCCGGAAAGAGCGATGCCGAACACCACCTCAGAATATCAATATGGCCTCCTCATGTGAATCTTATACAGTATGGCTGGAACGCATGTAAACTGTCAAATCTACCATCTCACCTGCAGTTTAAGGTACAGAAGTGTACGATAAAAGCTACATCTCTTAGGAGAAAAAACATGATCATGGGCTCTTTTCATGTAAGAGCCTTAATATGGTAAGATAAGGAAAGCAGAAATGTAACATGATCAAAATCCATTGAATAATTTTCACTCTTTCAAAGACACTCTGGATCTTGTTTTCTACCTCACACAGCAACACAATGGCTAAATAATGCATAATCTTCCTTCTTCTTATTGTGTTGTGCAATGAAAGGAACTCATATACACATCATGTAGGTTAAATGAAATGGTGTGAATGTCAAATAACCTCAAGTAAGTTTAAAATCCTAATAAAGGCACATCTTTAGCAAAGACAAACGGTTTTCTTGAGTAGAGAAAAAATTGGGGTCAGCGAATGTAGAGCCGGTCTGCAGAACAGCCTCTGTGCTGCTGAGGAACCACATATCACTTCTCTGCTATCAGTGATAGGTACACAGCACTTGATCTATATCACTTAGTGCATTAAATTATCAGTAAGAGCAAATAGAAGCAGCAAAATTAGGCGTGGGCCTGGTTTTTACTGGTGTAGCAGTTACAATGGTGCCTGAGGCACTCATGAATAATGAGATATGTGATAACTAACACTCGACACAAGACAAGACCATCAGGTTTACCTCAACCCTTTTATGAAAATCACCATGATCACATTTCCACCTGTCTTTATCAGTCACCTGGCAACACGTCCCCCCCCCTGCCCACACAGTCATTATCAATTGTGTTACTTAGGCTAATTTAGTCTTCATCACACCTTAATGACTGGTGTGCATCAGTTTAACCACAGCAAGCACATCACTGGATCCCCGGTGCTGATAAAACAAACAACAACACAAAGAAACATCTTATCCTGCACGTATTCAGAGAGCTGGCTGGATGATGGCAACATTATGCATGATTCTCACTTTCACCTGTAGGGAGGGAAAAGCAGAGAATGCAGCCAAGTGGATACTAAAAATAAAATTGATATCTCATGGCGATGAGAAGCAATTGAGGCGATTTTTTTGACCTTGCGGTGCAGGTCCTGGGCTGGTGGAGCCACAACCCCTGTCACAAGGAACCCTCTGAAGCCTTGCATATGGTCCTGAGAGAACTACTTCAAGTCAATATTGTGCCTCTTGGAAATACAGTCCCCCCCCAAAAGAGTTGCCTCACTCAAATCGCAGCCTATAAATGATAGAATTTACCTTGCAGATGAAACACCAAGCCAAGTCAGGGGAGGGTGGGTTGGAGCTGATTTCCTCTGGGAGCATTTCTGAGAGCGCCTTGCCAAAAATGGGACCGTCCGTGGTGATAATTCAGGTGTCCCGAAAACACGCGTCTTGGCTCCTATAACATGTGACGGCCTGCGGAACCAGCGATGCCCTTCAAGAAATCCATGGCCAGCATGTTAAAGGACGACTCCTCTGCGATCCGCTCACATCGGAGATATGTAACTCAGCTTCCCCCCTTTGGTAAAAAAAAAATTAAAAAACTGGAAAACGCAGCCCAGAGGGGTCCCGGTGTGGCTGTGAGGCTGCAGCTGTGCGGGATCCGCGTCTACTGCGCATCCGCCTGTGTGCACCTCCAAGAAGAGAAAACGCCTTTGTAGCGACAGGCTGCTTTAATATCTCCAGCGCTGTGTGTGTGTGAGTGACTGGTGCTGTGCTGAATCCAGCCAGATGTTCGTATCGCTTTCACGGGCTTTTGCTGGCGACGCAGGGCTCAGTGCGAGTTAATCCAGATTGAGTGAAAGGTTGCTGGCCCCCCCCCTCCTCCACCTCCTGCCCCCGGACTACTGTCAACCACCGACCCGGCTCCATTTCTGACCAGAGGTGCTGTGCTCGGAATGTTAATCAGCGCGCACCAAGCTGCACATAGACCATGTGTGTGCATAGACAGATGCAGTGCCTCCTAGCCTATCTCACAGGCAGGCATCATAATTTATTCATGTAGATTGGACTACACTGCACGAAACGCAGTAACATTCTATTAAAAAAAAAAAAGTAGGCACAGACATGTTTATCAGATTTGGAGATTACACATACATGAGTCGGGCAATAACAAGGCTTAAACAACACAGTTATTGGAAATACATCCTTAAGGTAAAACATGTGGTGCATCTGGTCTGGATAAAGACAAATATAGCACATATCTGAATAGGCCTGCATGTATTACATAGATTATTGGCAGGAAAGTGTTGAGTTGGCTGAAAGTAAAAGCCCTGCTCCCCGTGGGTCTGCTTGGCACTGGACCCATCACTATCTGATGCAGTGATCCTGTGGCCTTTGTGCAAGTTGGCAAAGTAAACAGTATATGTACATAAGAGTGTTACAGTACAGAGGCGCTGGAGACTTCTTGGACTCATGGGGGTTTTTTATTTCCAAGAAGAATGACCGATACCACTCCTGGGGCCTCCTGGCGCTGTGAAAAAGGTGCCTGTTGTCATCCACAGAATTACCCAGAGGATTTCTACTCCAGATCAATAGCTCCATCCAGTAACAAGACATTTACTTGAGATCAATTGGACTAGTGGTTTAAGCATGGTAGCAAGAGTTGTTTACTAGGACTGCAAATAACAAACATTTCTATCTGTAAAATATCAGGAAAGAGTAAAAAAAATACTCATGCCAGATTCTCAAATCTAATGTGTTTTCCTGTTTAGTCAGTATTAAACACAAAGATATTCAATTAATTCATATAAAAAAATCTGAAAAGCACAACATCTCTATATTTCAGAGATTAAAAACATTGTGATTTCCATGAAAAATCACTTAAATGATAAATCACTGAATCAGTAACAATAAAGTATACATTTGGCAAGTGTCTTTTCTATCATCAGTGTTGCATCTCTGATTTGAACAGTTTATCATTTAATATCACTAATATTTAATCTCGAAAAAAACCTGTTTCACTCATTTTTGCCACATGCACAAAAAACTAGTACAACAACAGTTTCTTCACCAGCCGCAACAGCAGACAAGCACTTTTGCTGGTGGGAAGTGTTAATGTCAAGGCCTGCGAGTGTCTCAATCGAGTCATCAGGATCTGACAGTTGGTGGAATGAAGTGACACTGTCATGACTTGGTTTTTCCTGCACTTTACTGTAATGTGATTCATGTCTTTCTTTCTCACTGACGCATGTCATCCAGGAACTGCTGGTAGGTGAGATTGTCCGCCCAATCACCTGTCCTGCTCTTTTTTTCCAAGAACAAGCCCCTGCTGTCCCTTCGAGGGTCAGCGACGCTGTGACTCCACGGGGTCTCTGTGATCCCCAGAAGCTCGCGAACACCAGCACAGATGACCTGTAGGGCGCACAGCAGGGTTGAGTTCTTTGATAAAGTGTGTTTTCACCCATACTTAATGAGGTATTCCCACTGAGAGTCAATGTGTCTAGTCTTTCGAGGATATTTCAGCAAGATTGTGGCATCATGGGAAGACAGGTTAAAAGGTCACACTCCCAGTCCAGAAGCAAATGCATCAAAGGATGAACATCTCAACTCAATAATAGAGCTTACAATCATTTACTGGAGCTATTTCATTATCAGTTCAAACTCACCCAGAGAGACATGTTGTTTTTGTCTTTTTTGGTTTGATAGCTGAATATATAAACATGCTTTAAGCCAATTTAGCTTTGGCCTCAGGGAGAAAAACAGTAGCTTTTACTGCGTGTGATACAGCGGATCTGAGGCGCTGGTGGCAGGATGCTGATGGGTTACATCCTTTATATATACAGTCTATGGTTACATCACACAACTTTAATTGGATGTCACATTGTTTAAAGAAAGAGTGTTAAAGGTCCAAATGGAATGTGCGAGTGAGTTGGCACGGACCTGACACCAGATTCAATGTCTACAGTCCACTTAGGTGGAGAGATATTTGATTACAATTGAGGTGGCAACTCACAATTATTTCAGTTATTGGTTAACCTTTTTATTGTTTTTCTTCTTAATTAAAGGCCATGACAGAAGTTGCTGGATTGATGGTCAGCAAATGCTTGGGATTTTTTATTTAAAAATTAGGCTTTGAATCAATAAAGACAAATTGTTTCAGCACCAGCAAATAAGAGTATTTTTTACAGTGCCATCATTATCTTGGTGCCCCACAGCCTGTTAAACCTGCCTTGATCATTGATGCTTTGATATGTAAACAAGTCTCCAATATCAATTTAACAATCAGACTCTTATGAAGGTTAAAATAAAAAAGAACTTGAGTTTCTGACTTTTAAATACCTTCATATCTGTAAAATCTGTGATTCCAAGTCTTGGCAAGTAGATGCAATTTACATAAATGAGCTTTCTTCCAGTGATGAGGTTCTCTGTGAAACATGGCTGCAACAGAAATGTATAATGAGGTTATTTAAAGCTTGGAGAAGGGAAATATTACATAGGGAGCTGGGAGGCTCATATCCAGCAACTCGCCTGTCTAGTTGGTTACCTACTTTGTATTGTGGGAATCCTAAAGACTCAATCCATCTTGCAACATCTTGACAACTCCAGTGAAGGGACTCCATGTTGCCTGTAAGCATGTTGCCATGGAAACTGTTACCTGCCACTAGGTATTATTAAGTGTTTCCATCACACATTAAAGTGAATTTTGTGCAGTCAAAAATATATAATTTTGAAAAGAAGTAAGAAAACTAAGTCTAATTTCTTACCCCGGAGTTTCAGAAGAATGTCTTTAAATGCTTAAAGTGATCTTAAAGTAGCAGAGACGACTCCAAACCGTGTTTATGGGAACAGCCAATCAGCTTTTTGTAATGTAGGGCGGTTGGTGAATTGCGCACAGTGATTGGTTTTTAAATCAAGTCTGTCCCGCCCACATTGAACGGCAACAACGAATGATCGCCACGCGTGGATTCCACAGATCAGCAAACAATGTGCGCTGGTGAGAGTCAATCACTTCCGCACTGGTAGTGTTTTGTAGATCGTATGAAAACGCAGCATTGTATCCCTCCGCTCTGTCCTCTGCAACAATCCTGCTAGCTTAAGTTCTCTTTGCACTTCTGTGTCTTTTGGGTCGTTTGAAGGGCTTCGGAGCAGGAAAAGAGACCACAAACACTCCATAATGGCGTCAATTATCCTCCGGACCGTGTTGAACAAGAAGGTAAAACATATTCATGCTAATGTTGGACAAACATTTGCTTTTCTTGGACGCTTATGCAACTCAAAATAGCTAACAATCTGGACTGCTAGCTAACAAAGTCGTTTCACACATGCACGTTGCACAGCCCACTGCTCATTTGCAAGCATTTCACTTATTAGAACTTGAACAATGAGTTTAATACCAAATTAAGTTAATTAATATTGTTTTAATTATTGCAGGTGCCCCTCCATATGGGTCGCATGTGTTACTCCTCCTCAGTGGTAAGTCACCCCCCTCACCAGCTTTCATAACTCAGCCAATCAGTCAATGAATAGGCTTGTTTGAGACGAGCTGCGGCTCGCCTCGAAAGTAGACGAGAATAGCCGATCGCAGCCGGGGGAGGTCTCAAAAAGCTCGCCTGAAGTCGGACAGCTCGGAGTCGGCTTCTTCCTCTTCTTCTTCTCTCGGTTTTTTGGCGGATTGCAAACAACTTTAAGGTGCATACCGCCACCTCCGGAGTCGGCTTGACTCGGTTTGAATTTATAAAGAATGCACAAATGTGTTTAATCGTTAATGTCAGATATGTACTAAGTAAATACATTTGTTCCTGCTCAAGATTAGATTCAACTTTATTGTTATTGCACAGATTACAGGTACTGAGACAACGTAATGCAGTTTAGCTTCTAACCAGGAGTGCATAAAGCAGTAAAGTGAAAAGTAATGTACACAATCTACAGAATAAAATATAGAATGAATTGAATGATGAAAAAACAGTGAGGGGTATGAATACACTATATGCACAGTAGCCTAGCCTAGTATGAACAGTGTGTTGTATGAATATGCTAAGATATATAAAGTATGACAACGGTAAGCAGTGCAAGTATAGTATAAAATATATAGATATTAATTTAATGATGATAAACATTGTGGAACAATGATGAGAAATGTGAATGGAAGTGGCGACGTAAAACTGACACAAAACAACACACTTTTGCCGAGCCAATGGAGAGTTTCATCTCCAGCACGGGGTAAAACCCACCAATGAGCGCTCAGCTCGAGATACCAGCGAGTCGTTTCCCATCAAGCATTTCGCTTCCGCAGCCCGTGGAGAGAAACTGCGCCGCCTCGCTCTCAAGTCTGTGGGCGTCTTTGTCCCGCGAGATTTCAACGTCTCATGTAGGCGAGCCTCCAGAGCAAGTCGGACAAAATGACTAACCATCATGCAACGCATTAGCAAGACGTTGATCGCAATTGCGCAAGTCTGCGCAGGTCTCGCTTGTCTCAAACAAGCCTAATGTTTTGTGTCCTGCACACAACACACTTCTTTCCACATGCCACGTGTTGTTGCGTTATGTAGTTAACTTAAAGTAGATGCATATTGTCATTTAAATAAGTAAAGTGTTTTTACAAATGTTTGCACAGTGTGTGAAATAACGTCACACACATTCACGTGTTTTTGTGCCATGAAACTCCTAATTGAGCTGAGACGCATCCATTTATCCATAATAACCTTCAAGACTATCGTCAGAATAAAACTGGATTGTAACCAACATTTAAAAATACACACACACACACACTGGTCCAGTCCATTTATCAGTCTGGTTCTACAGGATGTCTTCTGATGTTATTTTATTCTTTGTAAGGTGTTACTCTGTTAATAGGAAATCTGAGAATTATGACATTAAAAGCGCCCTATTATGCTTTTGGGGGTTTTCCCTTTCCTGTAGTAGTGTGTTATATGGCTTTTGTAAATGTAAATGGTCTGCAAAGGCTAAAATCACACTGCACTTACTTCCCTACTGTTAAGGAATAATTCTTCTAGATATCTAACCTTTTGCTCTGTGACGTTTTATGATCTACTCTGACGTCTGTTACCTCCTTTAAGGAAAGGCATTGGTGCCATATGTGTTGTTGTGACCGGTCAACTTGTCTGGCACGAATGGTAATTGTTGTGAGAACGCTGAGGCACTTCTTTATCGGTGTTTGTGGACTCTTAAGGTGTGAAATCTTTGAGGCCATGAGTGTCGGACGCAAGTGGTTCAGTGTTCCCAGCTGTTTAGTCTACTCCTTCAGAGATGTTGATTACTCTCTGTGAACCAGTTAAAAGGTCTAACATAGAGAGAGGCTCTTCAGAATTGACGTGGCAACTCTCCCGTGAAGTCAGACCCTCTGACTCGTGATTTGTGATGTGAATCCTCCGGCCGATACTCTGAATAAACCCATCAGTGTTTGACATAAAAAGCTCCAACTCTCACCGTGTCTCCTTCCTGAGTCGGTGACTCCCAATGCATTGCTACACAGAAGTTTCCCCCACACCTACCATATTGACATCACTATGTAACACCCGCGCTTCTATTGGCTACTAGCGCTCCAACACATTGTACGTGATAGGCTAAGGGGGCAGGACATCTCTAAGCGGTTAACCAATCGCAACAGAGCTGGCCAGTTAACCAGAGCAGACTGGGCTCCTGTTTCAGACAGAGGGTGAAAAGAGGTGCTGCAGCACAGGCAGTATGAGAAAAATAAAGAGCTTTTTGAACATTAAAGCATGGAGACATGTCACAGTGGAGGCATAAAATACTATTATGTAACCTTAAAATGAGATTAATAGGTCCCCTTTAACAAAAAAAACGACATGTGGTTGTTAACCTAAGGATTTAAGTTAAGGCATTAATCCTTAGGCCACGTTTACACGGAGACGAAAAAACGAACCTTAGTCGATATCAAAAAAGGCTTCCGTCCACACGGAATCAGCTCAAGAAACGTGTCCGTCCACGCGAGACCGCTCGACCCGATGGAGACGCTGTAGTACATATGCCGGGCCTGTAAGTGGCGTTGTACTTCCGCCACAAAATACACCAAAAGCAGCGAAGAAGACCCCCGAGCATGGTTGCCATGGTTGCCTGGTTGCCCTTCTGTTTATTCTCCGCTGTGGATTTAGCAACATGTAGTTCATGTATTTCTCCATGTCCACTTGTTGCTGATGGTTGTGGTAGAGGAGCTGTAGATTTTGCACCAACATCTGTATCATGGTCAGTAGCATCTGGAGCACGAAAGCAACCCTGTGATCTGCCATTGTTGTTATTGTTGGCGAAACACATCAGCAATGACGCGGGGGTGAGCAGCAGAGGTGGGGAGAGGCGGGGCTATGGCTTCATTGTTATCAGGAAATGATCGTATAGGGCGTACACACGGAGCCGTTTGGCCCCCCAGAGCGTTCCGTCCGCAGATCTACCCACCTTGGGAGCCGTTATCGTTTGAGGGCTCCGTTTCCGCGGTTCCGTTACGGCCTCGTGTGGACGAACCGTCCATACGTTAGAGAACTGTAGCGGATACAACCCGTTTTGTCTCCGTGTAAACGTGGCCTTAGAGGGGTATTTAAACCTTTTTTTTAGAAGCTACTAGTAGCATTGAATATTCATTGTCAAATAAAAAATAAGCTGAACCATGGAGACCCTACATATTCATTATCTATTTCCTCATGCTATAATACATACAAACTCTATACAAAACATGCACTAACATTTATACTTGCATTTAGTATAAAATAAATCAAGATACTGATTTTTATGACCAAGGTTATGTATATGCCATCGGATGTCATTCAAACTCCAACTAACAAAAGCTGCTGCCACAACCTCAACAACTTTCTACAAAGAAAGCTCATATTTTTATATGTTCAGTTATTTGTGGGTAAATACAAAAAGTAAGTGTTTTGATGTCGTAGAATGCACCCTGATTTATTTTAGTGCCCATAATGGTTCTACTTTTTTAGTATGTAGGCGATGTACTCAAAACATGCTTTGGAATTAGTGTGTCTAGTTTGTGATTGTGAACCGCTTATGTAACTTAAGCTCAGAAAGGTATCATGAAGGAATCATATATTGTATAACATTAAAATGAACTATTCACCCAACCCTGTGCATAGCAAACGTAGAGATCTAACACTTTAGAACGCCTCATTATGCTGTAGTACAGATGTCCTTAATGAACTGAGCAGTGATGTAAGCAGACAGGATGGGATTTAACCATATGCTCTCTGATCCTCTAGCCCACCACCAAGCTGCTCATTGATGGCAAGTTCATTGAGTCCAAAACCTCTGAATGGCTCGACATTCACAACCCTGTAAGTATTCATAGATGAACTATATCCAACCTGTTACAAGGCTGCAGTAACATGATCTCTCCTAAAAGCTGGTTGCAAATAACTAGGGCAACTCTGTAGTAGTAACTTATGAACATTGGGGAGAGAAAATTACAGTTTTATATCCTTCAAAAGTCCAGCTGCTGTAGTAAAGCTTAACAAGTACAAGCCTCTAGCAAGGCAGTGATGGATGATTATGGCATGCAATGTACTTTCATCACAAATAAATCAAACCTGTAAATTAATATTGATAGTTTATGTAAAACCAATGATTGACTTTCCCTGCTTGTCAAGTTGTTTTTACGGACTGTCTCCTGCTCCACAGGCCACTAATGAGGTGGTGGGACGCGTTCCCAAAGCCACCCAGGAGGAGATGCTGGCAG